TAATTTTTAAATGATATTTTGGGAGATAAATACTAGGAATTAATTTATAATTTTTATATCAATAATTTTTATTTTTTCACCTCTATAAATAGAGATTAGTCTTGTGTAATTTGGAGACCAAAAAAAATCTGAGTTTTCAACACCTTATTCTCCTTCTCTTTGCTTTTGCTTCTATATTCTTCAAACTTTTTCAAATGGATCCTTCACAAAATTATCTTAATTTCTCCTACAACTTTCCTAACCAGCCTCAAAATACCAACCCTCAAAATCCAAATATGTAAGCTCCGGAAAATACTCAAAATGCTGGTATGCAACCCAATTTTCAAATGTCGTATATGATGCCACCAAATTTTGGCATGCAATACCCTTATCTTCCTTACGGTTATCATCCAGCTGCGGGAAGCAGCTATGTTTCATCCCATATGAATTTCCCTACCACGGAGTCGATTGAGCCACCGACACCCCGGTTCAGTAGCGGATCTACAGAAATCGGATTTTTCCGATACTCCTCATAGTTTTCTACCTCCAACCCAACAACCAACAAAGAGATCAAGTTACGATAGTTGGAGCACAGAAGACAACATAATTCTGCTAACTGCTTATTTTCACGCTAGTAATGATAGTGAGCTGGGGAACAACAAAAAAGGTGAAACTTTCTGGAGTAAAATTACACAGTATGTGAATGAGAATGGCAAGAGAGGAAAAGAGAGGACCATAGCTCGGTGCCAGAGTCATTACAAAGACATCAATAGAAAAATTTTCAGTTTCATTGGTTGTTACAGTACTGCATGTAGGGAGAAGCAAAGTGGTTGGTCTGATGAAAACTACATATCCAAAGGCAGGGAGTTGTACTTTGAGAAAATGGGTACATCGTTTAATTTGGTGGATGAGTGGAAGGTTGTTCGCAATCAACCAAAATATATGCCAGGAGTAGCAGTATCGGGTAGTAGCGGTTCGAAAAGAAAGAGTAGTAGTGAAGATGTTGAATCCTCCGCTCCTACCCTCGTACGTCCTGAGGGTAGGGACACGACAAAGAAGAAAGCTAGAGCTTCGTCCAGTAAACCAAGGAAATCGAAGGTCGAATTCAGGATGAGTTATCCAATATAGTCACCTCTCGTGAAAAGGCGGAAGCGAATAGAGCAAGTACTGTTGAAGCTATGAATGTCCTCGCTCGTGCCAAGAATATGGAGACGTGGAGATTTTTGAAAAACAAACCAGATCGTGACGATGAAGATGAAGAAGCATATCAGTTGTTGAGGAAAGAACTGTTTGGCAAATGAAGAAGTTGTTAGTTGTCTGTTAGTTTGTTTATGTGTTTTTAAGTGTTTCGTGTGTTGAAATTGGAGTGTTGAATAAAATCGTTGTTTTTTATTTGAATAAATCCAATTGAAATGACTACTCCCTCTCCAATTGAATTGACAAGTCTCTGCAATTAAAGTTAAAAAATATATGAATTGACAACTCTCTGGTATGAATTGACAACTCCCTGCAATTAAAGACGAATGGTTGAATTGACCACTCTATGCAATTAAAGACAAGACATGAATTGACAACTCTCTGTAATTAAAGACAATGCATGAATTGACAAGTCTCTGCAATTAAAGTTAAAAAATATATGAATTGACAACTCTCTGGTATGAATTGACAACTCCCTGCAATTAAAGACGAAGGGTTGAATTGACCACTCTATGCAATTAAAGACAAGGCATGAATTGACAACTCCCTGCAATGCATGCCATACGCCACATGTCGTTGCAATTGCATGTTTTTGAACAAAGGTTTTCATTATAAATGCTGACCAAATGCACAACTTGGAGTATACCTATCAACATTTTTTCTACATACCCTCCAATGGATCCAAACCTAAATGAATTCAATCTCGAATACTTCCAACAAGAATGGGAGTTAGAAGATAAAATGTTTGATAGGCAACAAGAATTGCTTGAAGAGTTGCTTAGGAGAGAAGAATAACCACGCAAGAGAAAGTCCATATATAGAGATCATCATGCAGCGCATGAGAGGCTCATGGCCGACTACTTTGCCGAATCATGCACATACACTGATGCCCAATTTCGACGAAGGTATCGAATGAATAGGCCTCTCTTTCTACGAATTGTGGATTCTATGTCAAATTTTGACGTTTACTTCACACAACGTCGTAATAATGCGGGCAAGCTTGGTTTAACCCCTATCCAAAAGTGTACTGCTGCCCTACGCATGCTCGCATATGGAGTAGCAGCTGATGCTTGTGATGAGTACGTGAAGATAGGAGAATCTACTGCGGTTGAGTGTACTCAGAGGTTTTGCGAAGGGGTAATAGCCTTGCGTCATATGATTTGTGGATATGGCATGCTTTTTTTGGGCTTCCTGGTAGTTTGAACGACATAAATGTACTAGATAGGTCACCCGTTTTTGATGACATTGAGTCTGGTGAAGCTCCAAGGGTAAACTTCACTGTTAATGGACGGCAGTACAATATTGCATACTATCTTGCTGACGGAATCTACCCAAAATGGCCTGTCTTCGTCTAGTCAATTCAAATGCCCCAGGGATCCAAACAACAATGTTTTGCCAAACAACAGGAGTCATGCAGGAAGGACGTGGAGCGCGCATTCGGGGTTCTCCAAGCACGGTTTGCTATTGTCCGCCAACCAGCTCGAACGTGGGATATTGAAGTCTTAGGTAAAATAATGAGGGCGTGCGTTATTTTACATAACATGATAGTGGAAGATGAACGAGATTCGTATTCGCGAAACTGGGAAAATATCGATTTTGAACCGTCAAACAATCCTAGCTCTTCCGCCTCTTCCAGTGTTCAAACAGATGTATTGCCTGAGTTTCAAGTCCATGTTCGAGACCGATCCGGATCGGATAATCATACTAGAGCCGAACTACGAGATAGGAGCCAACATATTCAGTTGAAAAAGGATCTCATCGAGCACATTTGACAGAAATTTGGAACAACCTCTGATTAGATTTACCAATTTAATGTGTGTTTTCTTTAATGTTTTCAATAATTTGTGTGTTTGACTTTTCCGTATGCTTAATAAAATCGTGTGTTTTTTGTTAATATTTAAATTATTATCAAAAATTAAATTAATAATATATATTATTTATGTAAATATTAAAAAATTATAATTATAAATAAATGAGTTATATTAGTAATAATAATAGTAGTAGTAGTAATATATATGAAATAAGAAAAAGAAATGAATAAATAAGGTGGGGTATATATGTTGGAGTGATGGGGTTATAGTGGGTCCCAAATAAAGTAAAAATCTTTTGAAAAAACTCCTGCTGTAGAGATGATAGAAAATGGAGATTGTTGAATTATGTGGAGGGGGAATAAAGTGATGTGGCAGGAGAGAGAATGTTAAAATTTCGACTCTGATGGAGATAGTCTAATTGAGCAATTTCTCTTCCAATGGATGTCAGGCTTACGATCATGATCAGAACACAACCCTAGAAACCGATTTTTGTTCATTAAGAAACGTTACTAGGCTATGATCTAAGCAACATGCTCTCTTCTACTTGTTCTTCTCTTTACTCTCACCCTTCTCTCATCTCCCATACATATTTATAAATGCAATTATGAAATATAAACAAAACCAGACTAAGTTTTATCCGAACAGCCAATGTAGCATATACTAAAAGACAACTGGATAATACAACAAAGTACTTGCAATTTATTCTTCATCTCCAGAGTGCAACTAAGAAGTTGATCCTCTAAGGAACCTGAAATTTTATTGATAATTCAATTTTAAGTTGAATCTCAAAGATAACTTAATTAACAGGTTGGTAATCAACAAATGAATTAGGGCTTACATACAGGTCCAATTTTCCTTGCCATGTGGGTGTACTTGCTTAATAAACATTATGTCCTTCTGCTGCCACAGGACCCGATACACCTACCACTGCTAGTGCTCTCCCCCCTCCCGCCCTCCCTCCCCCAACCACAAAAAAAAAACCACCACTGCAAAATTGATAGCTAGGATTAACGTCAAATTATGAAATCATTGAAACCATGGTACACCATAACACCATACAGCATAACCCCCGCGCCGCCGCACGCCGAGGCCCATAAAAAAAAAGAGGAACAAAATAAACGAAAACACACATCATCTGTTCTCTATCCTGACCATACTGCAAGCATAAGACCTGTCCCACACGGGTGCATGATTCAGTAAGTCGTGAGTTTCCTCAGGTGAACCCCCCGCCCCCCCCCGCCCCCCCCTCCAAAAAAACACTCATGCAGTGTGGCCACTTAGTTCCACGTTGTTCTCTTCGATATTGATTTTTATCCATATCTGAAGCAACTAGATTTAAGATCACCAACCATAGTACTAATCTTGTGAAATACACTTAAAGTATGGGCTGTTCACAGTTTCTCCATGTGAAACACTAGCTACAATTCATCCTTAAGTTCAATAGAACTACTATACACCCAACACTGCCCTAGCATCCACTTTCAGGGTTATTACAATTTTACCAACTCTATTAATTTTTTATGTTTGCTAGGCAAATATTCATTGTATATATTTCAAGTTAAAATGAAGTTGTAAGACTGGTAAAGATGAGTGTAATAGGAGCGGTCAGAGGATCGAGGCTTGCGTCCAATACAATGAAAGGAAATTTCTCCTCTATATAGGCAGGTTTGAGGGTTACAAATCTTCTTTTAAAAAAACGCTACTTAGACATTAAAAGTTAGTATAGACTAAAGTCTCTATATAAATGATGCTATGAGCAACCTTCATGTAAAAATCCTGATTTTGTGGCAAGAATCTCATTTATATGTAACAAAATGGCAAGAGAAGACAAAGCAACAATGACAGTACCTGTATCTTTACTACATGTTGACGCAGGGTTAAGAAATCTTTGCGCCCTTTCCATCCTCGATAGTTCTTCTGAATAGAGAGAGCTGCTTTATCAAACTTATGATCACGAGAACCATGTGGTGCCCTTTGAAATTTTGATGAAGCTGCAAACCGGTGAATGTCTACTGGAGTCATGCCATATTCATCTTGAAATGATGCCGCTATTTGATGCCTCTTCCTGAAAGAATGAGCACGGAAAGCGGCTTGTATGCGTGCTGCAGCTTGAGTTGCATTTCTAACAGCTGCCAATGAATCTTTGAGTGAGAGCTCATCTTCAGTAACCCCAACATGAAGTTGGACAGTTCTCTGAGATATGCTTTCCACTGCTCTTTCAGCCTCCACTTCAGCAGACCCTTTAAAAATTTCATTTTCTCCCATGGTAAGTGAAGAAAGATGGCTAGTTAGAGCTGCTTCCGAAAGATATGCAGCAAGACCTGTGTGACCATTTTCAGCAGCTAAAGCACCTGCAGTTCTGCCTATTGGATCTAGTGGAGTGGGATCTGTAACAGCTCCAGCTGACGCCCCAGCAGCAAGGAGTGCAGCAACCATTCTTTCCCTGCTTGGAGTTTCACATACTAATTAACAACATGTTTTGTTTTCTTTCTGCTGAGAAAAGGTTTTTAGTTATGAATCATCTAAATGTCACAAATGTTTAATAATTTAAGCTCAAAGAGCTCAGTTCGCTCAATAATCAAACAAAATTAATTACCAAGGAATCATATTTACCTTCCAAAACGAGCAGCCCAGTGAAGGGCCGTCCAGCCACTAGCATCACGAAAATTAACACCAACACCAGCATCAAGGATTGGACTTAAGGCCCATTCATAGCCTAGACCGGAAATCAAGTGTACAAAGCCTTTCTCCTTCCTGGACAGCAAACAATCTTGACCCTGATTCTTAGATGATAACCACAGCTGTAACTTATCCTTTAATAGTTCTTCCATTACCCATTCTAAAATACTTGATGGACCCTCAGAACCATCTAGGAGTGACTCCATTATCCGAGACCACCGAGACTCGTCTTTTAATGTGCTGAAATGTTCAGTTTCCTTACTGCTGCCAGTCTTACATGAAAAAACATCAGAGCCACAAAGTATATGAACAAGTCTGACAAGCAACAATATTTCCTCAGCATTTCTGGTACCCTCTGCCTTAGGTGGTGTGCCAACAAAATTGGTAGTAGTGGGTTTTGCACGGAATTCAAATTCTCTAACTTCACTGCAGGATTCTCTATTTCCAGATGTGACACAAATTGTAACCTTTCCGTCACCATGTTGAGGAGCCATGCAACGCAAGATGCCCTCCTGAACAATTTCTGCAGGAACCTGAATGTTGCCAAACATAATTGCCCAGGAGCACTCTGAAGAATTGCAGAGAAAATCTCCAATAAGGATAACCTGCAATAAGTGTTTATTATTCACACTAGTCAAAAACAACATCAAAGCCTTATCCCAAATATTTTGATTTTGGCTACATGAAAATCACTCTTTTCTAACTTAACAGGCATATCCTATGGTATTGCTCAGTCCAGGTTCATTTTACCTCTACTTACAAATAAATAAGTTTACGAGAAAGTAATGGCATCACTAGTAGAAAGAACAAAAACTCTGGATATAGTAACTGATCTAAGAAAAAATTGTTTAACTTATTTTACAATGTTAAATTCGCTGACACCTGGATACTGTTAACAGACAAAGCAAAAATCAGTAAAAAATAATTTAACATATAAGAGACAAGATGTAAGCCAGAAATTCAGTTATGAACAGAAGGCTTTTACAAGCATTCGACATATCTTTCCAAGTAGCTATAAGACATTCAAAAGGTAGTAAGAAGCCAAAGTCGAGACATCCAACATTATAATGGTAGCATCTTCCATGGCATCTCATGTGGGTTAAGGATTGCTGCTCGGCACCAAGAATGAATTTTATAATAGTAGAGAGAATCTACGGCACAACATATGAATGCTGCAGTTCTTAAACATCTTACCTAGTAGTCTTACCTAATTTATGTGCAATAATTGTCAACGATCATATGAAACGTAAAAGGTCCAACATATTCTTATCATTAAGGTGTATAATGTAAGATCAATAGAAAATTGTAGCCTAGTTAACATTTCGGAATTTGAAGCTTGATTTGTGGTAATGCAACATTCCCTACATCAAGTCTAGCACAAATTTTAATAAAATAAATGTATAAACAAATGCAGTGAATACTGATTACTGGTTAATAATTTGAAGCTTTACAAAGTCTACCTTTGTAGGCTCAGAGGAAAATGCCCATTCTGGGCAGATTTCACGAATGCTAAATCTCTGCTTCTCTGCCACAGTCAAACTTGAATCATCTCTGAGTGGGATGCCAAATTGCCCTTGATCAAACCACATTGTTGAGAAATCAGAAGAATAGGTATTATTCGGAACATCTAAATCAATAGTCGCCATCCAGTCTGTACTGTTTTGCGTTCTATACTTTCCTACATCCGAACTGGTTTCACAAATACTAGCATCACAAATACTCTGCATTTGAACTTTTGAAAGCTGTGAGATATAAGTTGGTGACTCAATTGAATTCTCAGGCCCTAACAGAAATTCTCGAGTCGCTGCTAGTTGCAAGCTCAAATCACTGTCAGGAATGTGATGTCTAGTAGATCTACTTTCTGCATTATTTCCAACATCATCAGCTTGTGCCCAAACGAACTGTCCTGGCTGCTCAAATGGAATATCAAGTGTTGGACCGTGTTCAGTTGGCCTGAGCATAGAAGATTCGATAATACCTTCTGGCGGCAACGTGTTTTTATTTCTTGCATTGATCGGTGCAGAATATTGGCTTGTCTGCATCATGTGATTCCAAGAAGGAGATGTTCTAACAACACTATAACCAGAACCTAGTGGCTGACTTCCTTGCTTTCCATTATCGCCTAGAGAATTATGTGAACTAGTCAAATTGGTTTCAGGTGTTCCTAAACAACAACACGAACAGAAGTTCAACACACACTGAAAATATTGGGGGAAACAATACTTATACTGAGAAAACTAGGGGCAAAATACTTATAAAGAACTACCTGAATCTCCAAGTGACTGTGTGCTTCTATAGCCATCTTGTTTTTCAGATTCAATTTGGTTTTGCTCCCAGAATTCTGTTCCATGAAAGAGATTTTGATCTGCTTCTTGAAAAGATTCCCTTGTATTGTCAAAACATCCAACACCTTGGGATCTGTCATACTCCTTGGAGAATTCAGGCAATTTTTCGCCGAAGCAGCTGGTATTCTCATAATCATCCTCCAAACTCAACTGCATTGCAAGCTTATGTAGCGCTAGACTGACCTCTGGCTGAGGTGATAGATCAGAATTTCTTGATCCATGACCATATCTGATATGCAAGTGATCTGCATCTGCTGCTCCTAAAGCAAACTTTGAACTCACTTCTTCCACAGTTGTTGAGCTGCCATTGCACCCATTAGGATCATAATGTTCACTCCCAGAAGTGATGCCCTGATAATGGGTATTACTTGTACTGGTAGTCTGATTAAAAGTGGAATGTGAATTGGCAGATATGTTTGAGATTGATCCAGAAAGAAATCTTCCCTAGATGACAAAAAATGAGCAAAATACTGTCATTGATGATAAAGGTGATGCTGCATTAGAGAAGTAAAAAAAAAAAGTAGGAATAAATGTGACATTTCTAATTAACATCTTTTGCCGAACTGGGGGTTTGATCATCAGGATCCCAACTAATGAAGCAAAAATTACTCTGACAAGATGTGAAATATTATGTTGTACTTGGTCAAATTTATGATTTTAGTCGCAATTCAAAAGCATTGAAAGTTTATTCACGAATTATAATTCAAGGAATACTGGTCAGGATCATAGTTAAATACAGTAGGGAACCGAGTATATATGCAGATTGACACAGCCTAGCACACCAGGTGGGAAAACTGTAGTTAAGATATGCTACCTGCATGTCCTACCTAGAAATTGTGTTTGATTCAATATTCATAGGAAGTCTCAGAGAGTTTAAGAATAGTAATTTAAAGTGTCTGTCGCTCAAACCTATACTAACATCTTGCCACACAGTTTAGTGCAAGCTCTCATGGCAGTATAAACATATAAAAACAAGTAGCTTACTGGAAACTGAGCCACTATACAAGTGCCCGTCATTCAAACCTATATTAACTTCTGCCAATGTTGAAAGAATAACTTTTCTTACGGATTGTGTTAATGATCTAGAAGACAGTTTGAATGCAAATGAAGTAGAAGCAACAGTTTCAAAGATTTGGCGATATTAGTTGGAGATGAAGAATTGGGTTTATGAATGCTACCAACCATATTGTAATAGCTGAAGTCCTCGATAAGTTCAAAGATGTTAAGCCACCAGTGCTGCCAAAGAGCTTCAGAAGAGTAATGCAACAACCACACACATCTTAAGTTTACAAATACTGCCTTGCAAAGCCAATTATTCGATTCCAAATCGTTCCTGTATTGTGTGCGCGCGCGTGTGTTTCCGCACATATCGTGTGTGTTTGTGTTTGTGAATATGTTATAATACTATTAGTGGCGATAGAATTACTGTGTAAATCTTGCTAGAAAGCGTCTTTTCACTTGTCCCTCCTCTCTACTACTTTATTACATTACCTTTTTAATACTCTATGAAAATGCTGTCACACATATAGTCAACACGTTGTAACACGAAAATGAGAAAATTGCAGCTTTCTGGAGTTAGGAAAAATAGCATGGCCATACACGCATTTCTCCATGAATAAGTGTATATTTGACATATAGGTATATCTCAGTCTGTTTTTGCAAGTGATAGAAGCTTAAAACATAAAATATAACAAAGCAATTAATCATTTCAATTTGAAATAGACAAATTCATATGAAGACTCATTTTTTACATGTATCCTTTAGGCACATAAGGCAGAAAAGTGTCAAGCAGAATGTCAAACTTTGACCAGACAGCTGTGGCTCATCAGAGGCAGAAAGACATGAACCTTTAACGCATACTATACATCAAAAAGTTTTAAGCAAAATTTCTTGCCCATTAAGAGGAATAGAGAATTCTCTATCTGAGTAAAACAAACAAAATGAAAAAGGAACAAGCACTTGGGACAAGAGTTCTAGCCAAACTGCCCTACCCATTAAGAGGAATAGTTGAAAATTTCTTATCTTGGAGATGGAAACAAACCTCAGAGACTTCTCTGTAGTGAACCAGGACAATATGCTCATAGGCCCTGCAAAGGAAACAGATATCAGGCTTAGCATGATGAACAAAGAAACTCGCATTTACCATTCCAATCAAACTATAATTTCACTGATTGCACTTTCCATGAAACATTTTTGCACACAAAGGAAATTTGTGGCCACCAACATACTTGCATATTTGAAACTCCATGAGAAAAAAGTAAACAGTTGTCTTTTCACTCTTTCACAAGCTTTGATATGTAATTTTTTTCATAAAATAAGTGATTATATATATATATTATATATAATATATAATATTATTATATAATATTATTATATATATATATATATATATATATATTTATATATATAGAGAGAGAGAGAGAAGGAGAAATGAGTATGCTTGGTACCAAGCACAAAATAATTATGCTTGGTAGTGAGGGTGGCATACATCCTCTCCCACTCATTAAAATGGTTGCATATCCCCATGGCACTCCTCAACTCATGTGAATGTGGTCCCCGATTTAAATGAGTGGAGGGGATTGCGCCACCTCCACTACCAAGCACAAATTTGTGCTTGGTACCAAGCATACCCATATTTCTCATATATATATATATATATATATATATATATATAATAATATATATATATATATATATATATAATATATATATATATAATATATATATATCAATGGTTGAAAAGAGAAATGAGTTTCTTTCTTTAGTGATAAATATACAAATCTAAGCAACAATAAAATTCATGGAAGCAAAAACATTTGCATGCACAAAAGGAACGCTAAATGATGCAGTTGTTTGACATTGCAAAAACTCTCTGAGCCACATCAGCCACATCATACAGTAGCTTTTCATTACTACAGCCAAACTCAATGCTAAAGCAGCTGGTTTGGATCCTGAAGAGTCCCAAGTTCAAGTCATGGCTATGGCCTTTACTATTAGCTGACATTGCATCATATTGTTGTGCTGGAAAAGTAAATTCATCCTAGAGAGCGATAGTCATGTTTTATTTATAGTAGAACAAGTAGAATATAATTACAGAATCTCCATTGTGGGAGTAAACATTGTTCTCTAACTTTTAATGTACTAAATATTCTACTACCAATTATGTCCAGCTTGCTACATAAAAGCAAAAATCTTTAGATAATACTTTAGTAAAAATATTACCAATCTTGACAACCTTCATAGTTTCACCTAGTGGCTATAATGTTTCCAATCTTAATCAGGAATGTCAACAACTATATCACAAACTTCTCCAGCAAAAGATAGTTCGTGTCCTTCAACTTTATTGTAGCAATCTCAATATTCCAGAAGATCACGAGCATCTTTGAACTCGGATACGGAGATAGATAGGTGTCAGACATGAAGATGGTTAGTAAGACCTTAGATTTATGAGACAGACAATAGGATATCATAAATGGAAACTCTCATAAATGGAAACAACGAATAGGATCTCAGACATATTCAAGACATATAGATACAGCAAGATCTCGGACGTAGAGATGAGACGTGGGATCTCAAACATAAGAATAGGCAATAGGGTGTAACACATGGAGTCATACAGTAGAGTATCAGTAATGGAGACAGTAAGGTATCAGACATGGGGACAGATAGTAGGGTATCAGACATCGCAGCATGCAGTAGTCTAAGATTTGGAGACAGATAACAAAAAGAAGGCTAGATCAACATTAGTAAATCATGAAAGCAGATTAGATTATATGTAAGATCTTGATCAAATTAGTTATTAGCACTGTTGTAAATAGCAGTGCATAGCGCCACTATAGCGGTTTTCATGGCATTAGCGCTGGCAACCGTTATGCTATCAGCGAAAGCAGTAGCAAATAGTGGCCAAAACCGCTATTTGCACGTGATTGCGCGCCATAGAGGGTTTTAGCGGTTAAATGCATTGAACAACGCTTTTAACCGCTAAAACCCCTTTTATTTGCTGGATAGCTTTTATATTCTACCCGACCCATACCCAAACCCAACCCGTTTTACCATTAAAACTAGTCACAAAAAAGAAAAAACCCTAGCTGCCGGTTCTCTCCCTCTCCCTCCAGTGCTTCCTCCCCATCTCCGGTGCTCCCTCCACCATCTCCAATGCTTTTTTATTCTTTATAGTACTTTGTTAATATCATGCAATTGATACACATCTATTTCATGTTTACAATCTCTATAAATTATCAAATATGCATTTGTAAAATTTTTAGATTTTTCTGTAATTTTTTTATTTTTAGAATATTTAAATATATTTAAATTTGTCCGCTTTTGACTGTGCTATTTGTCACTATTTTGCCGCTATAGGCACAAATAGCTTTAGCGATTCCTCACCGCTACGCGACACTATCCGCTATCGATAACCTTGGTTATTAGTATATTTTCATTATTTTTTTGTTATCAATTTCCTTTTCTCGTTTTTCTTTTTCCTATTTCTTCTTTAACTACCGATCAAAGGGTGGATACTAGAGCTAAGTCAGCCGTGCAAGTTAGGAGGTGATGGATATATGACTTGGACTCACCGGATACCATCATTGGCAGGGACACCACATCCAAAGCCTTGAGTACTGAGTCCAACACTGACAAAAGGAAATCAATCAAGAGATTCAATATGGCCAGCTTATAAGCACTATGAAGAACCCTTAAGTGGAATACAAGCTCAACATGGATATCGCTGCCACTGCTAGGGTTCTACGCTATTAATTGACGGTGTTAGGCGTTGACCAGTCCAAGTAGTTCTAAAACGGGTAGGAAAAGTTATTCCTCTACTTCGATAGAGGCTTGCATCAACGACACTGCTACTCAGGTCCAAGTCCAGAAAAGGATTATGGGGCAAGGTCAGAGTTACAGTCAATGTCAATGGATCTTGGAGATCATTGAAGATTGGGTTAGGAGGAGATTAGATGATTCAGGAGACATAATACCATAATTTACACAACTGGAAACAAGATCAGGGCAAATTCTGGTGGCAGGTAAAAGTTCAACTGCCTCAAAAAACTAGGTTCAGAATTTCATATTATGACGGATCTACAGAAGGTAAATGTTATTATGATACTTTGGTATGGAAGATAACATTTACTTGCTGAACATAATGTGAGACAACTACACCATAAGGTGGAGCATGTGGAAACTATATAAAAGCTGATGTCAGCATCAAGTTACACAAGCTTGGATGTGACAACTATTGATCAGAAGGAAACAGAATGGCTGAGACTCTATTAAGACACATGCACGGCGATGCTCACATCCACAGTCATAAACACATGTAAATAACAAGAATAGAACAAAGGAATTTTTTACAAACAGGTGCATGTTGGTCTTGAATGCCTTCTCCTGGCTGATGCAAAGAGCCATTGCATTAATACACTGAAGAAACTACGTGAAGGCTGGAGGAAAATACCTCAAATATCTGTGAGTTGAGACGTGTCTTATAACATGCACGAAGGAAATAGAATGACCAATGTTATGATGAATTTAGATAGCGTATGCAAAAGAACAACTGTCCAGAGGTAGAGAAAAAGTGCCAGAGGGTTTTGAAAGGCTGATACTAATGGATACCTTATATATGAGGTTTGCATAAAGATTACACAGTTCATTAGGGTATGGGCATTTGCAATAAATAAGAGGGACGCCGTCATTGAAACAATCATTAAAAAACCAACTTTAACCATGTGGAGTCCTAACTTCCTAAGTCTTATGAGTTAGCCACCGGTTATTGCAACTTACGTATCTGGTAAAATATACTCTAATTAACTACAGTAGATCAGCTAATGTTTAACTTTAAATAATAGTTACTTGTCATTTAGAACCCGAAATTTTCTTCAATTCTATACTAAATCCCCAAATTTTATATTTCTAGCCTAGACCCCCCGCGTCCCTTAAATTATTTCAAGAAACACTCTCAGGATGGATTTCATACAAAACTTCCATCATAGTATGGTTAACTCTTAACCATCTTGGTTAAATCACATTAATACCGTTATTATAAATAGGGGAGAGAAGTTATCCAATTAAATTGACTCATAATTTGATTGTTGATAAAGGCAACGGCAAAACGGTCCAAAGAAAAAAGTACACTAACTATGACGGTAACTAAAGGAGTAACTGAAATTAATCTAATCAGGCTGTGTTTTTAAAACAGCTTATGAGTTTTAGGGTCTAATTTAGAAACATGAAGATTTGGGGGGTCTAATATACAATTAACAAAGATTTGGGGTCTAATAAGACAAAATCCACAAATAATATATCTCAAAACTTAGATTCATGAAAGATCTTTTAGTTAATGGTATCAGCTACCCCATTAATTTATCAATGAATATTATGTAAAAGAAATTAGGGTCAGAACCCAAAACATGTTTTCACTTAAAAAGTTATTTGTTATATTCAACCTAGAGATGATTATGAAATAGTGCCAGTGGGCAGATTGACACAATGGTAACATCATTGAACATAGACAGTAGATTTGAGCTGGGAAAGGTGAACTCACGGATCCAACATCCAATAGCTTCGCCTCTGAAAATAAGGATTTGGCTCACCGTGAGCATAATAACAATTCAAAGCATCAACATTCCCAACCTAACAATGTTAAACATATGCCAAAATACATCATTAAAAGGTAAAGAATATTATAGGACTAACGACCAAATAAGTCATGGCAAAACAATGATAGAAAGTAAAGAACAGAAAATAAATCAGTTTATTGATAAAAAATGCAACACAGAAATAGAAAATAAAAGAACAAGAAAGAAAATAGGGATAAACCAGTTGTTTGTCTATTGGCAGGGTACACTGTAGAAACAACTGAAAAAATGTCAAATATTCTATAGAAATAAGATCACATACTTTCCTATCAACGAAAATTTAGAACTTTCAAGCCAAAATATAGTAGCAAATATAACAAGTAAAATCAAATTAAAAGGTAATGATGGATATTCCTGAAAAGGGTCTTCTCTACAAAATAAAAGGATGGCCCAGTGCACGAGGCTCCCACCATTGTGGGCTCTAGAAAGAGTCTGATGTACACAGCCTTACCCCCACTTTGCGAAGAGGTTGTTTTCGAGATTTGAACTCGTGACCTCAGGTCATAAGGTAGCAACCTTATCATTGCACTAAGGGTCTTCTCTACAAAATGAAACAAAAAATGAAGAATGGCGATAGGACAATTGACGGATCTCTGTATATCAACAAAAAATATGATGAAATGTAAAATTGCACATGTAGTGTGAGTAACCAATCTCACTACCAACATGATGTGCAAAACTGATTATAGTACTGTTGTTTCTCAAGGTAGTCTACACTAATACATGTCACGATTCATAGGTACATGGATAAAGGAGATAAATACATGAGTCATATCAAATATACATCCAATACTTGGAAGTTGGAACATGTTTGGCAAATGATCGAAGTGGCTTATACGACACTTTTTTGCTTATAAGCCACTTTGAGATGTTTGGAAAGTGGCTTATTTTGGCTTATAATCCAATAATAAAATGAGCTTGAGTACCCTAGCTTAACTTTGATGGATTATAAGCCATGAGGTTTGTCTAAGTAAAAGTCAATTATAACCCTTATAATTTCACAAAATCCAAGACTTCATTTAATGACTCACCACCAACTCATGTCTTTATGGTCAACAATCGTGGATTATGATTCACCATTTGCCAAACACTTTATTGAAATGGATTATAATCCACTAAATTACCAAACACTCTAGATTATAATAAATTCGTAGATTACTATCCATTTGTGGATTATAATCCAAAGTTCCCAAAAATGTTCTTGACTGCTCAAATAATTAAAGGAGATTTTCGAGCAACTCGCCCATGACATCTAAAAGTTATAGTGTATCAAGACATCTAAAAGATGCATAAAAGATATACTGAGACGCAAAAGCTAAATATCTAATGCAGGAATTAGATAAAGTTCGCAATTCCTCTTTGACCAATTGATGCATAAACTATAGTAGAAGATAAAGTTAACAAAGATTAACATGCGTTGTCCACTAAGTGGCTCAGCCAAAATCATCAAAAGATTTAATATATATGTTGCTGGGGGGCTTCACGACATAGAAGATGCTTATACAAAGTAGTCACGACACCAAACTGAACAAACATACAAAGAACGACACACAAGGAGTTAATGTGGATCCATCAGTATGTTGATCTACGTCCAGGGGCGCAAACAAAAGAGGAATTTACTAATCAAAAGAGAAGAGTACAACAAAGAGATCATTATCTAATCTCATTCAAAATCCACTAGAGGATTACACAAAGAAAAAACACTCATTTTCTTCCCAAACTTCTCATTTCTCTCTCTTGCACACTTCTTCATCCTCACCTTAACTCCCCTTTATAATCAAGTCATCTTACTGTGAAATTGATAATTAGATTAGTAACATAGTGTAGTAAAATAGTGAGGCCAAGGGTTGTAATAGTGGGCTAATACAATATACATATTTTCATATTCTATATGTGATAGAGGAGTTCAAATTGGTTTTTGCTTAAAATATTCAAAGACGCATATTTCACAAATCTACACCTTGATATTGAATATGACAGATCTTCTCTTCTCTCTTGTCATCTTGATTGAAACTCTTGATGGGCGTAATTTCAGCGTTGTTGAGCACCAAACAATACGAGGCAATGTTGGAACTTGTGCGAATGTATGGACTTCGTCATCACATCTGTCGGATTGTTGTAGCATAAATTGTCTCAATCATTATGACTTTAACTTCTCTAATAAAATGATATCTGACATTTGTATGCTTGGTTTTTCATCATACATCTAATGTCTCATCAAAAGTGTAGCACTCTGCGTGATAAAACATCATAGTAGCACATTAGTATAAGTCTAGATCTTCAATCAAACTGATCAACCAAATAGCTTCATTCATTGCTTCTATCACTGCCATATGTTGCATCTGTAGTGGACAAAGCAACATCGACCATAGAGTTGCCAACAACACAAGCAATCATGACAAGCAACATGTGAATCGAGGTGTGCTTCACAACTACAGAGAACACTTCGTTAAGGTCCACACATTTCGGTCTGACTATAACTCTTAGTTACTAAGTGTGCTTTGTATCTAACATGATTTGTATCTCGAGTTCATTTTTCTTGAAGACATTTGCAGGTAAGGACTTTTTGTTTCTTAGTGGCTTCACTAACTCTCATGTCAAGTTCTTGAGAAGAGACTCCATCTTTTTAATTATGACAACCGACCATTCTGCAACTTCATCGCCCTTAACAGCCTCTTTATACGTAGAAGGCTCTAGGATCTCAATTAATTTTATCACGCTCAAAGCATAGGTGACTGTGTCATTCCCTGCATAACAATGTCCTTGAGGTCATCTATGCCTTCTTGTTCTCCAGTAACAATATTGTACTACAGCTCTTGAGATGTATCATCGTCTGAAGTGGAACCACCAACATATCAACATGTTCAACATGAGCACCCTCAAGTACTCCTTCTGAAGCAGTGTTCTCTAGGTCCACCTACTCGTTAGTTTTTTTAATACATGTAGTGTTAACAACAAACTCCTTTCCTGAGTGAAGCGTGGATTTATCATCAATGTTACATCAATTCTAATAATAAACTCAAATAACTTGGAATCAGGATACCACAACCTACATCCCTTCACCATGGTAACATATCCAATAAAGGTAATTTTCTTTGCTCTATGTTTCTTAAATGAGTCATTAGGAAGGCACCAGACCATTACCTCTTCTAAGTCTTAAAATTAATTATTACAGAAGATTTATTTACCAAATAGCAAGTTGTAGAGCATATGCATTGAGCTCTAAGTGTTTTGTTCATTCTTTATATGACTCTATTTTATTGTGGTGTATGTCGAACTGTATGATGATCGCACATAACTTCATTTTTACCGAACTAGTCAAACTTTGTAGAATAGAACTCCATCCTATTGTCGGTTCTAAGGCGCTGCACTTTCTTTCTTGTTTGCTTCTCAATCGTAATCTTCTTTTGCTTTAAGACAACTAACACATTACTCTTATGCTTTAAAAGATAGACCTAAACCAATGTGGAATAACCATCAATCAAAGTCAGCATAAATGAGCTCCATCTTTCAATGGAACCTAAGGGACCCTAAATATCTAAATGTATGCAATATAAAATGCCCTTGATTCTATGGACACCTGTCCTGACAAAGATTATGTCTATGTCGTTTGCCGGAAACACAAATTACAGGTCATTTATATGAACTTAACACTATTCTTATGGATTTAAAGAATATTAATGGTGAAATTGAGGAAGAAGATTAAACCCTTATGTTACTGACTTATTGTCCATCACCTCCATCCTTCAAGAATTTTGTCAATAGCATCCTTTATGCTAGAGATACAATTTCTTTGGAGAATGTCAACTTAGCCTTACCTTCAAAAGTGTTTACCCATAGTGTTAAGTGTCTACAGTAGGAAGTGAAGATACAAGGCTTATTTATCCGTGGTTGGCCTGAAAAGAGGGTTAGTGGTAGAGGCAAATCTAGATACAACACTAAATCTAAGTCAATGCCAAGAAAAAATATTGAGTGTTAGATTGTCATAAGTTTGGGCGTATAAACCTATTTGTCCAACGCTCAAATCAAAGAAAGATTCTAAGTCAAAGTCTTCTAGGTGAAACCCTCAGTTGCCAGTATTACTGAAGAATCTTCTAATTTACATGATGTTCTTTCAGTTCGTGTTTCTAATACTCATTCACAATATGAGTGGGTTCTTGATTCAGGTATTCATACCGTGTGTCCTTCATACCATATGTGTCCTCATAGAGAATGGTTTCTGACGTATCCGTCAATTGATAGTGGGAATGTTAGGAAATAACACGTCCTGCAAGACTGTTAGTACTGGTTCAATTAAGATTAGAACACATGTTTCACAAGACTATAGGTATTGGTTCAATTAAAATTAGAACACATGTTTCACAATCTGTAGGTCACCATTTGTTACACTCTCCGACTCTACCTCTTCTTATGTCCAACCTAAAGCCTATTAATATTTCAATTGAATTGAAACTTCTTCTCTAGTTATCGACCGGTTACCTTTGCTATTCTGAAAGATAAATGAGATACCATCCTTGCTTGAGTGAGAACGCTATGCTAAAGCGGAGGTTTAAACATAAAAAAATAATATCTAGGCATGAATAGCTCAGGCATACTGATGTACTCATATAAATTTAATATATAATATCAACCAGATAACCTGCACGGCTGCACCTACTCAATATGCGTTTAGCATTGTAATATAAAATAGCCACAGCATTAATTTTCTATACTTATTCTTTACTGATTCTGAAACATATTCCTCATATTAAACTCTTCATGTACCTGTAACCTTGCACTGCCTGCTTTTCACAAGCTCAGCGAGTCAAACTAGCAACAAAACGTTCTCCTTACAGCATTGTAAATTATGTCTGTCAATGTACACCTGTTAAATTTCTTATATAGCTATATCACGATGTCACATAATGATAATGTCGCCACCAAAACATATTAGGACAAATTTTCAAAAGCAACCCATTTGATAAACTAATTGCAAAAAACGACCCATTTGGGATTTATTTAGAGAAACCGACCTGGTTTCAGCACTGTCGCTGAAACCAGGTCGGTTTTTCTAAAAAACTTTACGAAACTTCACGGGAGTTCAACTCCCGTGAAGTTTTTTCACATAACAAAACTTCACGGGAGTTGAACTCCCGTGAAGTTTCGGAATTTTTTTTTCAAAAACCGACCTGGTTTCAGCGCTGAGGCTGAAACCAGGTCGGTTTTTACAAATAAAACTGAAATGGGTCTTTTTTTGGGAATAGTTTATCAAATGGGTTGGTTTTGAAAATTTGTCCAAACATATTAGTGTAAGTTGGGCTTTCTGTTGGTCGTGAAATGACTTATTAGACACCTCTCTTCCTATGTTCTTTTACAATGCCCACCATGAAAAATCATTTCTTTCCTCAAATAGAAAACAACCAAACATGCCTCCCAAAACTTTTTGGGGTCGGCCACACGAGTACTTGTCATCCACTTCGCTAAGTTAACCATTATCATGTTCTTTTTTTTCCAGCACCACCACTACACTTCTGCAACAAGAAAATAAAACGAGAAAAATGAAGTTATTTGAGCAAACCTTAAGCCGCTCATGGGCTTCGCCGACATTCCTTCCATCCTTCTTCTTCCGCCAGCTGTGACCATCTTTCCGGAAATAGCGAAGAACCCTGCGGTTGTAAAGAAACACAGAACCACCTGTCGACGAGCAGAAATCAAGAACGTCAGCATCACAACTTCTGGATTAAATAAACACCATTAACATCTAGATATTCAAGAAGGTCTCTCTACTACTCGGTGGCTTGTGAGGGGCCTCGGCGGAAATCGGGTAGCTCTCGTGATTCTGCAGAACGAAGTGGATCTCCGCAGGCTTCAGCCAACGATACCGCGCTTCTTTGCAAAGCATATCGTAATCAAAACCTGCGAACGACGATAGAGAGGATATGAACAAATTCGAAGTAAAGTTGACTGAATTTTACTTAGACGGATCAAATTAAAAGAAACAGGGCCGATATCGACGCATTTCATAGTTCCGCCTAAAATCGAGAAAAAAAAAGGGGAAAAAAGAAACGCGCGATCGAGAAATCTCCTCAAACCCTTGAATCAAAATAGAGGCAGTTTACCTTGCTGATTCATATCTGACGCCGATTGACGACGAGATTGAAGCGAGGCCGAGGGTTTAAGAAGGATCAGTAGAAAAGCCCTACTCGAGAGAGAAGGGAAGGAGGCGGCTTTTTTTTCCAGGGGAAATTCTTGAAAAGGAAAGAAGGGAAGAAAAACGTTTTTTTTTTTTTTGGTTGGACAGCAAAGAGCAAGGAAACTGTTTGTCCGCTGTTTCGGAGGAGATGTACTGAAAATGTTTGCTGACGAAAATGCCCCTAGTTTGGATTTCGGCGGAGAAAATGTTTGACTTTTCAATTCGCGTGGCCTCTGACATCAATACGAAATGAGCGGGGGTAATTGTAGCTCACAGAGTCACAGGTGCTTTCTTGTAATTTTAGGGGCTGTTTGGTTGGTTTCCTAAAAACCAAGAAAAGGAAATCGGTACAAGGAAATCAATAAAATAATATTTTTATCCATTTCCATCCCTAAAACTCACCACAACATCTAATAAAATATTATTTTTATCCTCCAACTCATCTTATTTCATCTCCTTTCTTACCTTTAAAAATAAACCAAACACAAGAAATGTGTCACATCATCCAACTCATCACATCTCATTTTATCTCATTTTTAAAAATCACACACATCATCCAATAATATTGTGACAACTCATCTCATCTCATTAAACATTCCTTTCCATCCATTTCCTCAAAAAAAACAAGAAATCAATTTCCTTAAGTACGTGTCACATCATCCAATAATATACCTCCAACTCATCTCATCTCATCTATTTTCTTATTTTTAAAAAACGACCAAACACAAACAACCTCAAAACATCATCCAATAATATACCTCCAATTCATTTCCTTATTTTTTTAACCAACCAAACAACCTCAAAACAAGTTTTTAAAAAAATCACTCACATCATCCAATAATAAGGTGACAACTCATCTCATCTCATCTCCTATTCTATAATTTCCTTCTTTTTTAAACCAACCAAACAACTTCAAAATAATTATAATAGGAAATAGGTTTCCTAAAGTTTGATTTCCCAGTTTTTTTGGCCAAACGAACAGGCCCTTAGTAGATTTGAGGTCTCATTTCAACAACATCTTACCAAATTGGCAAAATTCTCGTCCTACATTGACACGCCTCAAAAGGTAACCGATTTTACTAATCAAAAGAGAAGAGTACAACAAAGAGATCATTATCTAATCTCATTCAAAATCCACTAGAGGATTACACAAAGAAAAAACACTCATTTTCTTCCCAAACTTCTCATTTCTCTCTCTTGCACACTTCTTCATCCTCACCTTAACTCCCCTTTATAATCAAGTCATCTTACTGTGAAATTGATAATTAGATTAGTAACATAGTGTAGTAAAATAGTGAGGCCAAGGGTTGTAATAGTGGGCTAATACAATATACATATTTTCATATTCTATATGTGATAGAGGAGTTCAAATTGGTTTTTGCTTAAAATATTCAAAGACGCATATTTCACAAATCTACACCTTGATATTGAATATGACAGATCTTCTCTTCTCTCTTGTCATCTTGATTGAAACTCTTGATGGGCGTAATTTCAGCGTTGTTGAGCACCAAACAATACGAGGCAATGTTGGAACTTGTGCGAATGTATGGACTTCGTCATCACATCTGTCGGATTGTTGTAGCATAAATTGTCTCAATCATTATGACTTTAACTTCTCTAATAAAATGATATCTGACATTTGTATGCTTGGTTTTTCATCATACATCTAATGTCTCATCAAAAGTGTAGCACTCTGCGTGATAAAACATCATAGTAGCACATTAGTATAAGTCTAGATCTTCAATCAAACTGATCAACCAAATAGCTTCATTCATTGCTTCTATCACTGCCATATGTTGCATCTGTAGTGGACAAAGCAACATCGACCATAGAGTTGCCAACAACACAAGCAATCATGACAAGCAACATGTGAATCGAGGTGTGCTTCACAACTACAGAGAACACTTCGTTAAGGTCCACACATTTCGGTCTGACTATAACTCTTAGTTACTAAGTGTGCTTTGTATCTAACATGATTTGTATCTCGAGTTCATTTTTCTTGAAGACATTTGCAGGTAAGGACTTTTTGTTTCTTAGTGGCTTCACTAACTCTCATGTCAAGTTCTTGAGAAGAGACTCCATCTTTTTAATTATGACAACCGACCATTCTGCAACTTCATCGCCCTTAACAGCCTCTTTATACGTAGAAGGCTCTAGGATCTCAATTAATTTTATCACGCTCAAAGCATAGGTGACTGTGTCATTCCCTGCATAACAATGTCCTTGAGGTCATCTATGCCTTCTTGTTCTCCAGTAACAATATTGTACTACAGCTCTTGAGATGTATCATCGTCTGAAGTGGAACCACCAACATATCAACATGTTCAACATGAGCACCCTCAAGTACTCCTTCTGAAGCAGTGTTCTCTAGGTCCACCTACTCGTTAGTTTTTTTAATACATGTAGTGTTAACAACAAACTCCTTTCCTGAGTGAAGCGTGGATTTATCATCAATGTTACATCAATTCTAATAATAAACTCAAATAACTTGGAATCAGGATACCACAACCTACATCCCTTCACCATGGTAACATATCCAATAAAGGTAATTTTCTTTGCTCTATGTTTCTTAAATGAGTCATTAGGAAGGCACCAGACCATTACCTCTTCTAAGTCTTAAAATTAATTATTACAGAAGATTTATTTACCAAATAGCAAGTTGTAGAGCATATGCATTGAGCTCTAAGTGTTTTGTTCATTCTTTATATGACTCTATTTTATTGTGGTGTATGTCGAACTGTATGATGATCGCACATAACTTCATTTTTACCGAACTAGTCAAACTTTGTAGAATAGAACTCCATCCTATTGTCGGTTCTAAGGCGCTGCACTTTCTTTCTTGTTTGCTTCTCAATCGTAATCTTCTTTTGCTTTAAGACAACTAACACATTACTCTTATGCTTTAAAAGATAGACCTAAACCAATGTGGAATAACCATCAATCAAAGTCAGCATAAATGAGCTCCATCTTTCAATGGAACCTAAGGGACCCTAAATATCTAAATGTATGCAATATAAAATGCCCTTGATTCTATGGACACCTGTCCTGACAAAGATTATGTCTATGTCGTTTGCCGGAAACACAAATTACAGGTCATTTATATGAACTTAACACTATTCTTATGGATTTAAAGAATATTAATGGTGAAATTGAGGAAGAAGATTAAACCCTTATGTTACTGACTTATTGTCCATCACCTCCATCCTTCAAGAATTTTGTCAATAGCATCCTTTATGCTAGAGATACAATTTCTTTGGAGAATGTCAACTTAGCCTTACCTTCAAAAGTGTTTACCCATAGTGTTAAGTGTCTACAGTAGGAAGTGAAGATACAAGGCTTATTTATCCGTGGTTGGCCTGAAAAGAGGGTTAGTGGTAGAGGCAAATCTAGATACAACACTAAATCTAAGTCAATGCCAAGAAAAAATATTGAGTGTTAGATTGTCATAAGTTTGGGCGTATAAACCTATTTGTCCAACGCTCAAATCAAAGAAAGATTCTAAGTCAAAGTCTTCTAGGTGAAACCCTCAGTTGCCAGTATTACTGAAGAATCTTCTAATTTACATGATGTTCTTTCAGTTCGTGTTTCTAATACTCATTCACAATATGAGTGGGTTCTTGATTCAGGTATTCATACCGTGTGTCCTTCATACCATATGTGTCCTCATAGAGAATGGTTTCTGACGTATCCGTCAATTGATAGTGGGAATGTTAGGAAATAACACGTCCTGCAAGACTGTTAGTACTGGTTCAATTAAGATTAGAACACATGTTTCACAAGACTATAGGTATTGGTTCAATTAAAATTAGAACACATGTTTCACAATCTGTAGGTCACCATTTGTTACACTCTCCGACTCTACCTCTTCTTATGTCCAACCTAAAGCCTATTAATATTTCAATTGAATTGAAACTTCTTCTCTAGTTATCGACCGGTTACCTTTGCTATTCTGAAAGATAAATGAGATACCATCCTTGCTTGAGTGAGAACGCTATGCTAAAGCGGAGGTTTAAACATAAAAAAATAATATCTAGGCATGAATAGCTCAGGCATACTGATGTACTCATATAAATTTAATATATAATATCAACCAGATAACCTGCACGGCTGCACCTACTCAATATGCGTTTAGCATTGTAATATAAAATAGCCACAGCATTAATTTTCTATACTTATTCTTTACTGATTCTGAAACATATTCCTCATATTAAACTCTTCATGTACCTGTAACCTTGCACTGCCTGCTTTTCACAAGCTCAGCGAGTCAAACTAGCAACAAAACGTTCTCCTTACAGCATTGTAAATTATGTCTGTCAATGTACACCTGTTAAATTTCTTATATAGCTATATCACGATGTCACATAATGATAATGTCGCCACCAAAACATATTAGGACAAATTTTCAAAAGCAACCCATTTGATAAACTAATTGCAAAAAACGACCCATTTGGGATTTATTTAGAGAAACCGACCTGGTTTCAGCACTGTCGCTGAAACCAGGTCGGTTTTTCTAAAAAACTTTACGAAACTTCACGGGAGTTCAACTCCCGTGAAGTTTTTTCACATAACAAAACTTCACGGGAGTTGAACTCCCGTGAAGTTTCGGAATTTTTTTTTCAAAAACCGACCTGGTTTCAGCGCTGAGGCTGAAACCAGGTCGGTTTTTACAAATAAAACTGAAATGGGTCTTTTTTTGGGAATAGTTTATCAAATGGGTTGGTTTTGAAAATTTGTCCAAACATATTAGTGTAAGTTGGGCTTTCTGTTGGTCGTGAAATGACTTATTAGACACCTCTCTTCCTATGTTCTTTTACAATGCCCACCATGAAAAATCATTTCTTTCCTCAAATAGAAAACAACCAAACATGCCTCCCAAAACTTTTTGGGGTCGGCCACACGAGTACTTGTCATCCACTTCGCTAAGTTAACCATTATCATGTTCTTTTTTTTCCAGCACCACCACTACACTTCTGCAACAAGAAAATAAAACGAGAAAAATGAAGTTATTTGAGCAAACCTTAAGCCGCTCATGGGCTTCGCCGACATTCCTTCCATCCTTCTTCTTCCGCCAGCTGTGACCATCTTTCCGGAAATAGCGAAGAACCCTGCGGTTGTAAAGAAACACAGAACCACCTGTCGACGAGCAGAAATCAAGAACGTCAGCATCACAACTTCTGGATTAAATAAACACCATTAACATCTAGATATTCAAGAAGGTCTCTCTACTACTCGGTGGCTTGTGAGGGGCCTCGGCGGAAATCGGGTAGCTCTCGTGATTCTGCAGAACGAAGTGGATCTCCGCAGGCTTCAGCCAACGATACCGCGCTTCTTTGCAAAGCATATCGTAATCAAAACCTGCGAACGACGATAGAGAGGATATGAACAAATTCGAAGTAAAGTTGACTGAATTTTACTTAGACGGATCAAATTAAAAGAAACAGGGCCGATATCGACGCATTTCATAGTTCCGCCTAAAATCGAGAAAAAAAAAGGGGAAAAAAGAAACGCGCGATCGAGAAATCTCCTCAAACCCTTGAATCAAAATAGAGGCAGTTTACCTTGCTGATTCATATCTGACGCCGATTGACGACGAGATTGAAGCGAGGCCGAGGGTTTAAGAAGGATCAGTAGAAAAGCCCTACTCGAGAGAGAAGGGAAGGAGGCGGCTTTTTTTTCCAGGGGAAATTCTTGAAAAGGAAAGAAGGGAAGAAAAACGTTTTTTTTTTTTTTGGTTGGACAGCAAAGAGCAAGGAAACTGTTTGTCCGCTGTTTCGGAGGAGATGTACTGAAAATGTTTGCTGACGAAAATGCCCCTAGTTTGGATTTCGGCGGAGAAAATGTTTGACTTTTCAATTCGCGTGGCCTCTGACATCAATACGAAATGAGCGGGGGTAATTGTAGCTCACAGAGTCACAGGTGCTTTCTTGTAATTTTAGGGGCTGTTTGGTTGGTTTCCTAAAAACCAAGAAAAGGAAATCGGTACAAGGAAATCAATAAAATAATATTTTTATCCATTTCCATCCCTAAAACTCACCACAACATCTAATAAAATATTATTTTTATCCTCCAACTCATCTTATTTCATCTCCTTTCTTACCTTTAAAAATAAACCTAAGGGCCCGTTTGGTTGGTTTCCTAAAAACCAAGAAAAGGAAATCGGTACAAGGAAATCAATAAAATAATATTTTTATCCATTTCCATCCCTAAAACTCACCACAACATCTAATAAAATATTATTTTTATCCTCCAACTCATCTTATTTCATCTCCTTTCTTACCTTTAAAAATAAACCAAACACAAGAAATGTGTCACATCATCCAACTCATCACATCTTATTTTATCTCATTTTTAAAAATTACACACATCATCCAATAATATTGTGACAACTCATCTCATCTCATTAAACATTCCTTTCCATCCATTTCCTCAAAAAAAACAAGAAATCAATTTCCTTAAGTACGTGTCACATCATCCAATAATATACCTCCAACTCATCTCATCTCATCTATTTTCTTATTTTTAAAAAACGAACCAAACACAAACAACCTCAAAACATCATCCAATAATATACCTCCAATTCATTTCCTTATTTTTTTAACCAACCAAACAACCTCAAAACAAGTTTTTTTAAAAAATCACTCACATCATCCAATAATAAGGTGACAACTCATCTCATCTCATCTCCTATTCTATAATTTCCTTCTTTTTTAAGCCAACCAAACAACTTCAAAACCATTATAATAGGAAATAGGTTTCCTATTTTTTGATTTCCAGGTTTTTTTGGCCAAACGAACAGCCCCTTAGTGGGAGCGATGAGAGCTAATATCGCACTGGGCCCTTCATGTTCCAATTCATAGGTCAGAGAAATCCCAGAGTGGACTGACTCCTTAGAGCAAGTCCAGCAAGCTTCCAGTTGGGAGTCCTAGTCAGCAAGCTCTCAAGAGCTCTCAAGCATTTTGGTATAAAAAATTATAAAAATAGGTCTTGGGAGCATCTCATTATTTTATGGAGCTCCAACAAGCTCCTAGTTAGGAGCTCCAACAATATCAAAAAAACCCCTCTTCTATTTTAATATTTTACCCATTACTTTTAATTATATTTAAACCTCTTGTATTTTATTTCTAACCGTTGGATACGGCCTTCGAGGGAGCGCACATGGTCTTCGAGGCAACCCACGGTCTTCGAGGGACCGCACAGGGTCTTCGAGGTAACCCGCGGCTTTCGAGGGAACGCACACGGTCTTCGAGGTAACCCGCGGTCTTCGAGGGAACGCACACGGTCTTCGAGGTAGCTCGCGGTCTTCGAGGTTGGGCACGAACTTCGAGGTATCACAAACTTTGACCGTCAATTGACTGATTCCTATAAAATTCGATGCCTTCTCACCTCAACCAATCGTCTCCCAGAACAAAATGTCTAGCTCATCTAGCTCTAACGATGATAAAATGATGAAGACGTTCTTTCTTATGGGAGCTGCTATCGTCGAGGAAGAAGAACAAGGGAAAGGTTCAACTTCAGTTCAACACAAAAGACGTATCGTGCTCCATCGATACCGACTGGAAGGCCACAATCGGTTGTTCCAAGATTATTTTGCTGACACACCAACATATCCTCTTCATTATTTTCGTCGAAGATTCAGAATGTCGCGTTCGTTATTCCTTCGAATCCACGACGCTGTCGTCGAACATGACAAGTACTTCGTCCAAAAGAGGAATGGTGCTGGACAGTTAGGACTATCTAGTCTTTAAAATATTACTGCAGCTATGCGGATGCTCGCATATGGAGCATCCGCTGACGCCGTTGACGACTACGTTCGGATCGGTAAAAGTACGTCGCTTGAGAGCGTGAAGAGGTTCGTTCGATCGATTATCAACATCTTTGGGGAGGAATACCTTCGTTCACCGACTAATGAAGACGTTGCACGCCTGCTCGAGGAGGGTTCACAACGAGGTTTTCCTGGTATGCTTGGGAGCATCGACTGCATGCACTGGGTATGGAAGAACTGTCCAACCGCCTGGCAAGGTATGTATATTGGGCATTTTCATGAACCTACAATTATTTTGGAGGCCGTAGCTAGCAAAGATCTTTGGATATGGCATGCTGAACCTACAATTATTTTGGAGGCCGTAGCTAGCAAAGATCTTTGGATATGGCATGCCTTCTTTGGACTTCCGGGGTCTCACAATGACCTCAATGTGCTACATCGTTCACCGGTTTTCACACAACTTGCGGAGGGAAGAGCTTCACCGTGCAACTATACTGTTAATGGGCACGAGTACAATATAGGATACTATCTCGCCGACGGGATTTATCCAGAGTGGTCCACATTAGTGAAGACTATTCCAGCACCACGAGGAAACAAGCATAAATACTTTGCTCAACAACAAGAGAGCGCAAGAAAAGATGTTGAGCGAGCTTTTGGCGTGTTGCAAGCTCGATTTGCGATTGTTCGTGGACCAGGACGTTTCTGGCAACCTAGTGTGCTGAAAGACATCATGACAGCTTGCATCATAATGCATAACATGATCGTTGAAGATGAACGAGATTGTCAATTGGACAACAACTTCGACTTTAATGATTCGATACCAGTCGTTGAACCTTCTCATGTGCAGACGGTGCCTCTAACCGAGTTCATCCAAAATCATCATCGGATCAGGAACACACAAACACACAAATCACTAAAAAATGATTTGATCAAGCATCTGTGGCAGCTTAAGGGATCCATCGCCGAGGATTAACTTGTATCATAATGCATAACATGATCGTTGAAGATGAACGAGATTGTCAATTGGACAACAACTTCGACTTTAATGATTCGATACCAGTCGTTGAACCTTCTCATGTGCAGATGGTGCCTCTAACTGAGTTCATCCAAAATCATCATCGGATCAGGAACACGCAAACACACAAATCACTAAAGAATGATTTGATCGAGCATCTGTGGCAGCTCAAGGGATCCATCGACGAGGATTAAGTTTCTTTATGTCTAATGTAATTTCAGCAAAGAAGTTCGAGTTGTTGTACTACGCCAATTTTCTTTTCAATGAAGTAGTTGTTTTCATTAAATGCCAAAATTTTCAACTTCAAGTAGAATCATAAATCTAATACAAGATAATTAGGAAGAACTAATTAGGATGCGATGCGAGTACAATCATAAATCTAATACAAGATAATATATGATAATTAGGAAGAACCCTTAGACATCCACCTCTCCAATATCTCTGCCTGACGCATTTCAAAGTATTGTCGTTGAACTGAATTGAGTGTTGAGAGATCCATCTTCATGATATCGTCATCTTGTTTCTTTTGTTTTAGCTCTATTTTTTGATTTGTGGTTTCCTTCATCCACGTGAAAGCCTCTCCTATGATGGACTTAGCGGACTCAGAGTTTTCCACATTTTGTTTCCTCTTGAGCTTTGCCGCTTTCCTCCCTTCAGGCCTTGCTATAACATCTTCCGAGTCAGTGTTCAACTCGATGGGGCTCGCTGGCATGAAATTGTTTGGTGAGGAATCAGAGTATGTGGTTCTTCTCGGCTGTGATCGAATCTTATTGTAAGTTTCCATTTGTTGGATCCACTTTTGATGATGACACAACTCAACCCAGCAATGGTCAAACACGAATGGCTTACCATAAAGAGATTGGTATAATTCTTTTACTTCTGCAGTCTACACAAGAGTTAATTTTAGAATAATCAAACATAATTAAACATATTGAATCTGAGCAAAAATAATCAAACATAATTAAATATTTACCTGGTCAATAATTCCCGTACCAGATCTTTGTCTTCCTTCAATCTGAGCAACGCACCCACAAAATTTGTTGACGGACAATTGAATCGTTGACCAACGATGCATCATTTGGTTTGGCGTGCGGCTCGTTGGATCGGTGGAGTATAGGATAAAATAGTCGTTAGCTCGGTGCCAAAACTTATCTTTGTGTTGCCCCGTACCTTGGATGGCGTCTTGGCTCGTGTTCAGCCAAGCAGACACAAGAAGCTTATCCTCGTGGACAGTCCAATTTTCGGACCGCGTGTAAGCCTTCTTCTTCTTTGTGGTCGGTGTTTCTTGGGATGGCACTTGTTGTGTTGTGTAGGCTGTCTAAAAATCATAATAGATAGCTGATCCAAATAAGCTCCGACAATGGAGGTCACAATCAGACGACTTCCCAATCACTGCATCCGCAACTCCACAATCGTCACAAACACGACCTCACTTCTGAGATGATTGATCTTGATGGATGCGACAACAGCATGAATAGTATTATTAGCAACTATTGGAGATGCTGATGAGCAGTGTAATGATTTTAG